ATTGAAACTAACCACTCAGCGGTAAAATTTTTTGTCACAGCGAAGATATATCTGTACTTTGGATTTTTTTTCATTCGAAAGAGCAAATTTTTTATCTACAAGTAGAAATAATCAAGTAAAGGCACTTGACACTTGGGGGGATGTGGTGCAAGGCTGTCTCTGTATCAGTTGTAACCTGTATAAAATGAAGCGGACAGTAGACCAACCCCGAAAATATAAGTGAGTCCGCTGGAAAACAAAAGAATAAGAGTAATGAACTGCAGGAGTAGCAAGGTGCATATTGATAAATAAATTCCCGTGGTCGCGGTAGATCAAGAGAAGAGAAGGAGTGGAGAGAAGAGGACACCAAGAGTAAAGAAGAGAACGCAACGAAGAGGAGGCCGAGGGCCCAGGGTAAGAATGGAAGGAGAGCGTGAGAACGCGTAAAACTTGCACGAACGTTCGTTGCACACACACACACACGCGCGCACAACTTTTACCGGGAGGTGATGCAGTATTTATACATTATGAAATTAGCAGTGTATAGATGCGGGTGTATACAACATGTACCTACAGGTTACAGAATACATATAATATATATATATGGCGTGCACGTGTACATGAAGTGTATACCTACAAGTACAGGTACACCCTACACAGGTAACCGGGGTATATATTTACCGCCGGGGGGGGGGTGATCGAAAGAATGAATAGGACTCTCTCAAATGTGTGTTTGTGCCTCGGTTTGTGCACCTATCTGTAGGTAGAAAAGAAAAGAAAAAATACTCGCACAAGTGAGTAGTTTCTTATGGAAAGAGAGAGAGAGAGAGAGAGAGAACGCTCGTCACTTCCTCCCTTGGAAACTCACCTGCACGGCTGCCGTCGTTGTGCGTCGTGCTGCTTACACCTTACTTACTACACTACACACTGCCACGACATCCGGTGCGTTCAAGCACCCGATGCACGCTATACATATATAGATCTATGGACAGACCGCTTCCGTTATCCTCGCGCGAGCTCCATTGCTACTGCTGCTGTACTTATACTACCACCTTATACTTGTGCAGTTTATTCCTTGCCTATTAAGTGTATATATATATATATAATGACCAGATGAATTTGAATTTGTACTTGTATTTTTTTTTTTTTTTTTNATAATACCGAGAACAAGAGAATTGCTGATATCCCCTGCCGGCACACACAGGCGTACACATGTACGGGGTTGGATCATAAGTAGCATTTGGGGATGTGGGCTATATGGGGGGGAGGTAGCAGGGCGACCCTCATCTTTTGCGAAAATCATGATTGACGTGGTGGCGGCGACTTTACCATCGTCGTAGGGGAGATTTTGCGTGCACCAGCGACGCCCCTGTGCCTCTCCCTACAATTACAACGTCTTCTTTCCGTGCGAGTGGGTGTACGTGACCATTTTATTCTTCTTCCTTCTTTGTTGTCCGTGTATTCGTTTATATTTTTTTTTCCGTCGCGTGTGTGAGTGCCCCTGTGGTACGCGATACGCAAGGGCGAACCCCCCCCCCTCGTCTAATTGGCTTCCATTAATCAACATCTGTCCCTTAGTTGGACATTTCATTTTTAGAGCTTGATTGCACTTTTATTTCGTGCAACTATCTCCTTCTTCGACGAGATTTAGCTCGTATGGACACGAAAGGGATGAGAGTGGAAAAAGAAACTTGGCAGATTTTCAAAAGATTAAATTTTTAACAACGTGTTTGTTATAGTCTTGATGAAAAGGGAGAGAAAAAAGAACGTAGCATTCTTTTGGCATTTGAAGAATATAGGAAATCAAACAAGATTATCTTGCTGAGGTAGACGAAATCGAAGGCCATAAAAGAACCAACGGGGGAAACCGCATGATGGAGTGACAGGGGAACAGGAGAGACATCGAGGGTCCGAGTAGAGAAATCGCTGTGTCGCACGGCAATCGGGAGTAGGCTAGACCAGGCCGTCCGATCTCGTGCTTGAGAAACTGGCAATTGGATTACTGCTCCCTTTGGCCTTTCTACTCTTTCTAAAACGAACTTGCGAGCTTGAGACGATTGCATAAGGCGATAAAATAGGCTCTGATGCTCAATTACCACGTTTCCCCTCCTAGATCACTCCCGAACAGGTCTTGGATGATCTGCATTTGTTTACACAATTTACCAACTTGTGGTACATTTTTTTGTTTTTTAGAGCTTATAGACCTACGAAAATAATCACGTGGCTGACGAGTGATTGTTGCCAAATATAGCCAATAACTTGAAAAAACGAGCTCATTTTTGTAGTAATCAACTTTTATCCCCCTTTTTCCACTCCACTGAATATGTGTCAAATGTCCGCAGTGTATATAAGCAAACGACATATACATAGTTACACATCAGGTGGTCATTTATTTTTTTACCATTGCTGATATTTCTCACTCTTTTCGCAGGTTATTTTGTCTTCGTCCTTTTTTCTGATTCCCGGTAGTAAAGGTCCAAAAACAATCGTACCAAACGACGTGTACTTACGGTGGCTATATTTTTCAAGATCCCCCTTTCACGTGCTATTATACATGTACATGAAACATAAGGAAGCAAGACCTCGTTTTTGAGTAGATAAAAATACAAAAAAAGAGATGATACTCATGTATATGTTTTAAAAGGAGCAAAGATAAATTTGTGGGATTTCTCGCCCCTCGTGAAAAAACACCCCTCCAGCGAACGGGGTCTGAATAAATTTCACCCAATGCCAGCTCTGGGGAGTTTTCGATAGCAGACTTTCTAAAATAAGAGCGCGTGATGGGAATTCGATCCGGTAAACGAGGAGCCCCACAGGAGGAGGGGATTTACTTTGGAGGCTGTAGTAAAAGGGGTAAGGGATGCCGGAAGAAGATCGATCCACGCGGAAAAAGGAGAAAGGAAATTGGGAAAAAAAAAAAAAAAAAAGAATTGGGATTAAAGGAAATTAGTGTGGTCATTTACTTACTGTTAATTTACTGTAGTCACGGTCGAGGGCAAGAGGGTCTACGAGATCCGTCCATGTTCGAGCAATGCCCAAAGGAACGTCTTGAAATACCTCTGCACTTTCTCGAGTTTTCGTCACATAATCAATGCTTTGTTATTTTACTTTTTTTTTTTTTTTTTTTTTCCCCCCCCTTTGTGCCCCCGAGGGCCCGAGGTGTTTCTCATTTTTTCTCCTTTTTTTTTTTTTTTTTTTTTTTTTTTTTTTTAATTTATAAAAAAAAATAAATGATAAAATTTAACTTTTTTTTTTTTTTTTTTTTTTTTTATACAACGAGCAGAGTTACTCCTTCGAAAGCCTCTCTGCTGGTGTATTCAGTTACAGCAGCTACATCCAGCAAGAGCGCAACAGCTGTGCGCGTGAAAATCCTATTTCGCAGCATTTGTTATTGCTGCAACGCAGTCATTGCTGCCCCGCTGTTCGGAGTTGCAGGAAATTACAGCTGTGCAAAGAAGCATACCCCGATTGTTTTTTGGAATAAGCATTATCGTCATAGCGCTCTCGGCTTTTTACAGATGTAACAATCTTCTCCCATCAATCAGGTATTGCAGTTTTGTATCAACAAACAAAAATGTATCTTTACGTTAAAGTTGCCAAGAGTGTAACCATTTGTTTCTATTCTTACAACATCAGTAGTAGTAGTAGTAGTAGTAGTAGTAGTAGTAGTAGTAGTAGTAGTAGTAGTAGTACCAGTAGCGTTAAATAATGAAAAACTCGACATGTTAGATAAAAACATCATAAATAAAAACATTTACAGTAATTTTATGATGAAACAAAAATAATTTGAGCCGGAGAATGAAAAGAAACTGAGGCAGCTTTTAAAAATAACATCGGTACTTCTTGTGGATAAATAATCCGCAGATTAATTCTCAATATGTTGAGTTAAGATTATCTGCTATTTTTATAAGAATGAGTATAGTATTCAATTTCAAACACAAAAATTGACAGGTTAGCTCCCACGTATACCTATAGTACTTACTTCTCTAATATTAAATTTAGTGCCATATCCTATATGCATGAATCGTGACACATATTCAATCTCACATTTATATTTACATCTTGTAACAATATAATAATTATTGCTGCATCGTTAATATAATTACTTGTAAACCTCTTTATAATGATTCATTTCAAATAAAAATCCCTTGAAGAATTTTAAATGGAGGTAGGATAGTTTACCTTGGGAGTAAATCAAGCTCGCGAGTGCTGTACTTACTTGTCATTCAAATACGGTGATTACGGGATAATTATTGATGGGGGGGGGGGGGAATTTGAGTCTCCTCGTATTTAACTTTTTGCAAGGAGAACAAGAGAATACACGTTGCACCATCTATTTTTCGTCCGAAAGTATATAATACATATAGGTAATATCTACAAGATTGCTGCTAAGCTTGCTGTGGCTACAATTGGGTGTGAACATGGGTACTTACACCTCCATTTTTTACATTGTGTACATACTTATACGTGATTCCGCGGCTGTCCCAGCGTCATCTTTTTGTACCAAACGTGTCTAGTGTACACATGCACCTCCCAAGTTTTTATGGTGGTGGTAATAATGTTAGGAGGTGGAGAATAAGGAGGAGTCAAAGTACAATGGAATAGTGCGTGGAGTGCGAGTAGGTTATAGGCCGAGGTATGTAAGTAAGTACACAGAGGCAAGTGAAGGTAAAATAGGAGAGCGAGGTTACGCACATGCAGGCGAGGCAGCGTGAGGGTCGAGCGGCGGCAGTTCGCAAAGTTCTGGCTGGCTGAACGCGCGTCCGGTCATTAACGAAGCTTATCTACATGAGCACACCTCGGTGTTATATATATATTATTCCTTCAAGAATTCTTGATTTAAAGTGAACCTTAACAACACGTCAACTTTAAGAATCGAGAGAAAAAAACGAATCTCTTTAATTTCAAGATCCATACTTACGGTTGTAGTGAAAAAAAAAATAAAATAAAAATAAAAAAACAATCCGGTGCAAGTGCGAGGATGAGGCAGAATAAAAAAAAAAAATACACATATGAAGCGTCTAAGTGATCAAGCGATCGGAAGAATCAGCCAAGATACCTGAGCCGCTGTGCAGGCTGTCGTCGCGGTGGTAGCCGTAGACCGTGGGCTCGTTCGTAAAGTTGAAGGGCATGGGACTGTAGCCCGTGGCCGCGTGGGGCGCGTAAGTCCCCGAGTAAGGCATGTCCCAGGCGCTGGGCGGCGGCAGTGGGCCGACAGTGTCGCAGTCAAGCTTCATGTTGCTCATCGCCGAGCACAGGTCCCCAAATATGTAGTAGCACTGCTCGGAAAAGGTGATTTTGTTGACCGTGTGCCTGATAAATCCCGCCTTCAGCATCAGGGAGGCGTACTTGCGCGCGTCCCGCCTATTGCCCCACAAAATTGAATGGATATACACATGAAAAACTTTGAATCGCAATAATGTGTGTTCAGCAAACGCGCGAACAAACACCGACCTGTCGATAAAGCCCTTGACGTGCGTGTGCAGCCAATCGACGACGTCCGCGCCGATGAAGGCGTTGGGTATGGTGATCTTGAGCCACATGCGGTCGCGTATCTCGAGGCCCGAGTCCGGCCGGGCCATCGCTCGCACAATCGTAGCCATGTCGGTGTTGACAGACAGATCCAGCTCGTCGAACGGCCCTGAGAACAAGTTCAACACTACTCCATCAGTAATACACCTGGTCCTTAACTGATGCACACAGGTATACCAGCACGTGCCCGACCTGATGGTCTCTCACCATCCATCAGGTCAAATGTACGAGCTGGTGGGGCAGAAAAAAAAAACACACAACTCACACTCGTTGTCCGGTAATGTACTGGCCAGGCTGCTGGACGTCGAGGTGATGGTCGTGGCGCTGGGCGGCCGGGGTGGAAAGCCCTCGCCTCGGATAGCCGCAGTGTGGGCGACCCAGGCGCCAGGGTCGATCGGCCGCACCGGCTCCGTCCGCGGGATCGTGAAGTAGCCCTTCGGGTTGGGGTCCCAGCACTTGGCCACCACCAATTTTATCGGCCTGTTTTTGCGTCGCAACGAGAAAAAAAAGATGGAAAAAAAAAAACAAAAAAAAAAAAAAACTTNTTTCTTCCTCTACATGTAATACCTATACTTATAATACCGTGGTGGGGCCTTCCTATAATACGTTAATACTGCTGATGTACCACAGGACACTCACTGCTTTTATTGATGACGCCAAAAACATAATAAGTAAGTATGACATTGTGGAACCTGAAGCATCAAAATTGCCGAAAATTGCATACCAACGCTTCTGCAACAACAACAATCACTGTTGCTCAATCAATGCTTGCTTTTTAGATACTCATGGTCAGCATTAGCATGCGTGTACTTTTTCAAATATTTTAATCAATCATTTTGTTTTTTATTATAACTACAACTATCATCATCATCATCATCATCATCATAATTTTTATTATTATTATTGCATCATCATTGTGCATTTTTTTCTCTTTTTTCAGCTTGATTCACAGTTTGTTGGAATTTGAAGCTCATCGTAAGCAGCGACAAAAGCTTATTATGTGTTATATACATGTATATTATACCCTCGTTATTATTATATACATACTATCGCTGACAAAGTTAAACTTATTACAAAATGTTCGCAAAGTCAATTAATTAGTGTATGAATTAGTTTACGTTTGAAAATTACTTTATAATCATTTGATGTGCTTTTCAACGTCAAAGAAAAATGTCAAACGTCGAATATAAAAGAGAGCAAAATGAGTACGGGAGTTTGCTTGCAGGAGAGATCAGGCAATGTAATTTAACGTGAATAAAAAAAAAAAAAAAAAAAACGAGAAAAAAAAAGTCCAGGCACCGTAAAATTCCATTAAAAAGTAATTGAAAAAAACAAATAAGGAAAAAAGAAGGGGGGGGGGGAAGGAGGTTTAAATAATAAAAGATTCTAGCTTGCAAGCAAGGGTAGTGGTCGCAGATTGTTAAAAGAGAGAGGTAGAAAGGCGCTCAGCGGATTATCGATTCTTGCGCAACAACCCATGATGGTGATGATGATAGCCCGAGGCGCCAATTCAACTTTACAAAGCCGTAGTACCCGCAAGCACACAGCAAGTGAGTAAGTAGCTTGACGTATAATATACCAATATTGTGTACACGAAAGTCAAAACGCGCGCGTTGCATGTAATATATGTATAGACGATGGGGTGGTGATGGCTCCTATCATCCTACTCTTCGACTCTCTTCTAGTCTATACTGTATTGAAAATAAAACACACCGACGATATTGGTCGTGTTACAATTAAGTCGACGTGCAAACATCATAGTCCCTCCACGGCGCCGATGAACGAGGGGGTGGAAGTTGCTTGCTAGCCCCTTGGGGCCTTTTAATTAGTAGCGGTGCCGTAACTGAAATCCAGTGATTCGCGAGAGGAGTTATAGACATAGGGAAGGTTCAACGAATAATCCCCCCTATGGGGTGTATAGTATATAGTCGAAATAAAGCCATGGGTGGTGGGGTGGTAGGTACGATGTAACATCAAGTAAGCAAAGTACGAAGTTTCCGAATAGGAGGGAGCTCTCTTTGACGGAGAGAAATCTAATGAGTATGTGTATATAAGCGCTCTATCGCCTTTTCTTGCCGCGCTTTGTGGGGCGTTAGACAACAACGGAGACCGGAGACTTCGCTTCGATTCTCATCCGGTTCAATTAGAGACGACGACGACGACGATGATGGTACCGGTGCTAGCTCGAAACTCGTGTACCTATAGGTGTCTCATCGGCTCGCTGCTGCTCCGGATCTTTCGTTCTCGCTTTCGTTCATTCACTTGGAGGAGGTGCGTTAAACGTTCTCATTGCTTATGCCGAATAGTTCAATTCTTATATTAAAATTTGCACAATATTGCCTTTTCGATATAAACAAAATCTTGCCTCATTATAAAAACATAATACATTTTATTCAAGTAATTATCTTGTGTTGTATGCCACAAATGACAAAGGGTTATTAACTTGACCCCATTTTTCGTTAAATTTTCGTTTTATCAGAACCACGGTATACATTTTTCATACTCATTTAAATCATATATTCCACCTATACCTACCGTAACTTATGGATACTTTTTTTTTTTTTTTTTTTTTTTTTTTTTTTTTTTTTTTTTTTTTTTTTTTTTT